TCTTAGGCTATAATATTAAATTATTGTACCATACTAGATATTCCTTGGAAGCCAATTCATATAAATATTTTTGTATGCATGTAATTCCTTATACAGAATATATATTATATATAAATGGATCTACATATATATGTGTTTGTGTATGTATGTACCTTTCTGACGATGATAAATAAATAAACCTATCCAAAGCACACGAAACGAAGTTAAACTTCAATCTTATTATGTAAAATGTGAAAATCTATTTATATATGCATAGAGGGGCAGGACTATGTGACACACATACAAATGTATATAAATATATTTATACATACATATATATATATAGAGTAGCATAAGCGTTTGTCCTTTTCAGGACATTTTTGTATGTCAACTATATGTATGTAGTATGTATATACGTGTGTGTGTGTGCGTGCGTGTTATGTATGCACTTTCGTTTCTGTGAGAAAGTTCCCTAGGTACAAAACGTTCGTTGTGTTGGGGTTGTCCTACGCTTACAGTTCTATTTTTTTACTACGTCCCTAAGCTTTCAACATACACATATACAGAGCGTTATGCATGCAGGCGTGTGTATGTGTGTGCGTATACAACAAAAGCACACAATATTATGATGATAAAACAAATTTAGCCATCGTAGCTGTCAGGAAAAAGCACAATAACTGAGAGAGAGCGAGCGAGAGAGAAGAGAGTGTGTGAGCACGAGAACAGCTTAGAGCACTGCAAACGTTCGTGTGGCTAGTTCGTTAAAGGCACGAACATCGTGTGCACATCGTTAGAAATGCAATTGTGCCAGTGCTTGCCTGTGTGTATGTGTGCGCTGGGAGTGCGTAGCATGAGTGTGTGGGTGGGTGTTGTACAAGCGCGTATTTGTTTGTTGCTGGCTGACTGAGTTTCGCGTTCGCGCGTCAATTCAGTTTCATTTCAGTTACTACAACGATTTCAAGACCTACGGACGTTCTACACGGCGTTGGTAGCGCGCGCTGCAATTAAGTAACGGGACAGAGCGTTTTACAAAAATTACAATAAAAAAACACAACACACGAAAAAAAAAAAAAAAATAAAAATAAAATAAAACAAATTAGGTATTAAATTTAGGAAAAAAATTAACTTAAATATATGTACATAGAACAATAGCAATGCAAATATAATAACTAAACCGTATTACACAACTCGACAACTCTCGCCCATCGTAATAAACAACGACGACAACAACAACAACAACAACAACAACAGCAACAACAATAATAGCAACAGCAGCAACAACAACAGCCGTCATTCAACATAATAAATACATTTGGTATATGCTCAAATAAATATATCAAATATTGTGTTGTGATATCCAAATCTAAATCTAAATGTTAGTTTTGTCGTTCTTCTCTCACACATAGTACATATATTTTTTTATGTATTTTTTTTTTCTTAAGTAACTGTAATTTGCATTACAAATGCACATACGATGTGTGTAAATGTGAAAGATACTTCTATATCAATACATACGTACATATGTGCACTACATAGACAGTGTGCGATAACTAGAAAACGACAACAAAACGCATTGAGATACATAGAGTACACAAATTTCGAGTCCGAATGTCCCTGTCCCTGTCCCTGTCGCTCTCCTTGCCCCTGTCCCGTTGTAGTAGAATCAGTTGCCGATTTGACTCCATTTCGTTTTCGTTATCGCTCAGTAGGCCAGTGGAGCTCGTGTTCGTGCTTCGGCCAGCTGTTGAGGCTGTCGCTTTCCCCCTCCCCCGCAACTCAACCCAAGTCTCAGTCGCATCATCGCTCATCATCCCGCGCAACCCCTCGAGCCAAAATGAATGCGGACACGTTCCATCAGCCAAGTGCTGTTGTTGCCTCTAAGTTATTTTTTACGTATTTGCTTCCCGTGCGCAGCAGCACACAAACAGACACACACACACACACCAACAGCTACACCTACACCTACACACATGCATACGTAGATATTGAAAATCAAATGAATAAAACAAGTGCGTCCTCTCATGCTCTCCCGCTCACTTATGGCCTGCTCTCGTTTCTGGCAGCAATTTGTCGTCATAGTCTGCACTCAGCTGTTAGCTGCTACGAGACTCGACGAGCTATACGTAAATAGGTACATACATACATACGTACATGCATATATATGTACATATGTACGTGCGTACATATCCTACACATGTTTCTGCACCAGAAAACTAAATGCTAAATACTCCTCTTATTATGTATTCGATTCGATTTCGATCAACCACAAATCCGTTTTAGTGGCTTGACAGTGTTGAAAATTTTTGTAAATATGTGTACATACATACACATGTACAGGGATAAGCATGTATCGGAATGCATGTGAGCTTGCATACATATAGACATATACGTATGTATGCATGTATTTATGCACAGCGTACATATGTATGTATGTATATAAATTCGTATACAATTTGTGCATAAATATCTCTACAAATGCTAGATGTGATACATATATACATATGTACAGATATACATATCTACAGTTGTTCATATTTACGTATTTGTCATTTCAATTTTCATGTGTGCAGAGATAAAAAAATCATGTGCTTTAGTTTTGCTGTCACTTATAGTAGGTACATTCGTACCTACACATGTACATACATATGTATGTGTGCATGTTTATTGTGTGTATGTATGTAAGCACACAAAAGCAGACAAAATTAGCAGCAGCGAACAGTTCCCATTGTATTTAATGTTGAATAACATCAGCTGTTTTCCAATACGATATTTGCCAATAATAACGTGCGTGCATTTTGTTATTGACAACAACAAGCTGCGATAATAATAACAAAATTGTACGAGCAAAACCATTTTAATTGTGGCAAATTGATAGAAATATACGGACACACAGTGGTAAAGCTCTGAACAAAATATGCTCAAAAGCACATACAGAACACGCACACAGCCAGACACACACAGGCACAGACACAGATACTGCCATATTATACGCACGCACGCAGATGTAAACACATGCAAAGGCTGTCAGCTGTTTTGTGTTGTTATGCCAAATTGTCTTCAGCAAATTTTTTGCTTGCCTGCTGATGATGACGATGTTGCCGTTACTCCTGCCAGATGTAGGAGAGAGCGGCGGGATAGAGAGCTTTACAGAAAATACAGCAAAACGTAAATAAGCGACAGCCGCTTGTGAGAATGCGTAAGTGGGAGCAGAGCAGCGTGAGCTGTCGTAGCTTACGCCTCTCTTAGGGTGTATGTGTGCGTGCCTGCCCGCCTTTGCATTTGTGTTAGTGTGGTACATGCTCTTCGGGGGCAAATGAGAGGCAAACGCTGCTCAATGTTGAGACGAGTCAGTGAAAAATATTTCCCGTCATATCTAGTGAAAAATAATTTAGTGTATTTACGATTTTATAATATTAAGTACACGATCAGGTGCTTATGTGCGCGCGCGCGTGTGTGTGAATGTAGCTGCATGTGTGTGTGTGTGCTCTGTGTCCACTCAATTTTTAAAGATGTGCTAAACAGCGAATAACCTAAAAGGAATTATGCAATGAATAGAAAAAAGGCTTGCGCTTAACTGTTTCTTTTTCTTTGGTGTAAGTGAAAATTAACACACACATACACATATGTATGTACTTAAGCATGCATATAAAAGTCATGTAAAATATGTAAATGCGAAAGTGCAACGCTAAAGATAAACAACGAAAAGGTTGAAAAACAAAAACAGTGAAATTTATTGGCAAGCTAAATGAACAAAAAAATCAGCTGCACAAATGCACACTTACATGCATAAGTAAATATAAATATACATATGTATATGCATATGTATGTTGGTATTAGTACATCACATTTGCCATTTATTTGTATTTATGTAATCGCCAATTGCTCTCTGTTGAGAGTTTAGTGTCAGCTGCAGAAGAACAGTTAAGGCAAGGGAATTCGAACAGTTGTTCAATACTGTAATAACAACTGTGCAAACACACACACATACATACATATGTATATATGCATATATGTGCATAGTCAGCGTGATGTAACAACAACAACTGTTTCTGACACTGACATGTGAACTGGATTACACATATTATTGGCAGCATAAAGAAACAAACAAGAATAACAAAACAGAAAAGGCAACAACAACAAGAAATACGTCCTCCCACTTTATATACAGACATGCAAGCTTACAACATACATAGTCATTAGTCTGTATAGTGCATATACATATGTATGTACATATGTATGTATATACCAATATGGTTTTACGTACGCTCTAATTATCGACAAACAAGCTATTCGAAGGCCACTCAGATATTTAGATCCGTAGACATCTAGCGATAGGAGTGTGGCATATGCCTTGCCTTACCTTCCCATTATCACGGCGTATTCATAATCGACGGCTTAAGAGTTAATTAACTTAAAGCTATCTAATTGAAGAAACCAGAAAGCAACGGCAATGACAGCGGCAGCAACAACAACAACAAACATAACAACAACAATGACAATGACAACAGAAAACTCTAACACTTTTAATTGACTGCACGAACAATGCCATAATATCACGCAATTCCAAAGCCAACCCATTTGAAAGCACTTTGTCGTGCCCTACACCACAATATGCTATATGCCACATAACGGTAATGCTGTAAAAGTTTCTAGACCACCAACAAGAACAACAACAAATTACGCAAACAAGAATCGAAGCCAATGATCAGCTAGTCAATACCCTGTATGCAGTTACTATACATAAATATTCGATATATGTATATCGAACGTCCGATACATTATAATATAAATATTACCCAACAAATATATAAGGAGATATACTACAAGAGTATATATATTATAGCAAAAATGTCTCGGAATGATCATAGCCTTTCTTATACATTTTTAATGCCTACAGGGTATAAAAATAAAACAGCATAAAAACAGCAAAGAAATGAGAGAATTGCAAGGGAAAGACATGGGAATTATATTATTAAATGAAATTTCCTTTCAAGGCTCTCAATAAATTGAAACCTTAAAACAAATGTGGATCCAACAAAAATGTATTTTCAATTAAATTAATTGAATTTGTTTTATGAAAGATTTGAACTTTTAATTAATTAATTTTTCATTTACAACCATTTCATTAATAATTTTGTTTTTGNCATTAAGATCGTATGTCTACAAAAGAAATTATTTAACAAATAAATTCTCATAATATTGCCCACACTGCAGCGCAGCCCAAGCGCAGTCGCTGCTTACTGCGCAGTTAGCAGAGCGCAGGCTTATGCGTGCGTGTGGATGCATGTGTATGTATGTGTGTATAAAAGAAGTGCAGAATGATTAGAATATCAGCTTGGAGGGTTCAGGGTATCTCCTAGTCGAGCAGTCTCGACTGGAGCTTTCTTACTTGTTTTTTTTTTTTTTTTGTGGCCCATGAAAAAACTTCACAATTTAATTGAAAAGATAAGCTGATAAAATGATGGGAACTTTGAGTTCGGTCATGGGGAACCTTTTCCTTGAAAACCAACCCATCATATGACCCAAGGGGGGGAAGGCATTTGCTATGCCAGCACACACAGTGAAAGCTCAATTGACGAACAAGTTCCGTTACACGGATATTACTTTTTAACTTCAATCTATTTCTTTTATTGCTTTCGTATTTGATGCGATTATTGGCAGGAAAAATCAACAAACGAGAATGATTCTTTTTCAACTCGCAAAAAGAAATAATAAATAAATCCATAGAAACTAGAATAAGCTGGCATTGGAAATTTCAATTTCTAAGCCGCTGTGCTAAATCTCTTTCTTATTTCACAGATAGAAGACAAATGCGTGTATATGTGTATATGTGTATATGTGCATATAATGTATGCATGTATGTATATATGGTAGTATGGGTGTCCGCTCAACAGAGCTTTCCCTGTATATGGTTACATGCATAGCTTTGAAGTCCGTTGGGTCTATAAATACATTTCGCTTGAAGTATATTTGGACATTCAAAAGCATTTTGACAATTTGTTGCACACAGCAACCAAGCAGATGATTATCATCAACAAAACCAAAAGGAAGCCACCCACCCCCATCCAGCAAGCATCCCTCCATGGATGATGATGATGTTGTTGATGATGATGAACAYGCTTCCAGCCAGCATTAAATGCCATGTAAAAGTAAACACAACAACATCTGCGCCTCGCTCGCTCAGCTCTCAGCCGTCGCTCTCTCGCTCTCGTTCTCCTTTTCGCACTCTTTCAGCGGCGTCAGCGTCGTCGACGTCGTCGTTGTCGTCGTTGTCGCCGTCGCCGTTGCCGTTGCCGTTGCCGTTGTCGGCTGCTCTTTGCCACACAATAAAAATCAATAAAATCTGGGCCACCAGTTTTAAAGGTTGATTTAAAAGGTATGGCGATGCCACTTTGACCTAACTCTGCACACATGCATACACAGTACATACACACACAGACACACCTCATCATACATTGAGGGAGGTATGTGTCTGTGTGTGTGCGTGTGTATCTCAGTATATAAATAAACAATAATGAGCTGTCAACATCCGGATGTTGCCTACCCAGAGGGGCTTTATTAATTACGACCATCTGGCAACTCTCTGTATTGCACTTCGCCAAGGAGATTTGTCTGCATCTTATGTAGCGACATGTACCTACATGTCCATAAAAGTGAAAATTGAGCTTTTTCAAGTTCACACAAATTCACACACACATATACAAGCATGCAAGCCTATTCGTAGATACATATAAATACATGCAAAGTGTAATACTTGTACATAAGTACATATGTACATATGTATGTATTATGTACTCTATTTCTGTTCTAGCTAAATGTTAAGCTGGAATTAAGCTCTCATGGAAGAAATTTTCGCATATACTTCTAGTGCTTCTATTAATATATGACTTCGATCATTGAGTATGCAATATATCTACATATATGAAATATATACAATAATATCAAATTGTAAATCATGAGTACACATGTATCTATTAGTATGCTATGTATAATTGAAAATGTGTAATCACATAAAGTATTTCCTGAAGCACCACTTCAGCAATGAGTAATCTATAAGTAATTATAATTGGCTCTTATCGTTAATAAGATATCACGTAGGTGATTGCAATTATATATAATACATATATACATACATGTACATATGCCATAGCTGAGTATTGATAAGGAAAAATTCGTTAAGCTGAAACTTGTACAATTTATTATATACAACTTCATAATTTACTGATTTTCTGACGGTTTTTCATATCATTAAATATCATAGGGTATTCGCGCATCGATGCTTACCATGCTTGCCTTTGGCTCGCCTTCGTCTGTGTAAATGTGTGTGTGTGTGTGTGCGTGGCTATTATTAAGCTACGTTTCCCATAGCGCTGAGCTTTGAGTCGTACGGCCTTCAGCCAGAGCGCAGACTTGCAAACGCACATAAGTACATATATCCGAATACATACATACAGCTGTGCTGCTAAATATACATACATATATCAATGCATTTAACACAGCTGCAAAAGCGCGATTAAGCTGTACATGCACTTGTATAAATACATGTGTATATGTATAGCCATGCATATCGGTGTGCTTGTGTATGTGTAGCGCTTTAAATGTCATTGCGCATACGCACAAGCAATTTGAGCAACAAGAGCAACAGCAACAGCAACAACAACGACAACAACAGCAGCTTTTGCTCTTTGCTCTTTCGTTCGTATACGTCGCTGCTCCAATTATGAACTGCAGCCGAGCAAAAAAAAAAAGGAAAAAGAAGCAACAACAACAACACTCGCTATTTGTTCTTTGCTCTTTCGGTGTTCGCTCTCGTCGTTGCCCCAATTACGAACATGCAGTTCGGCTTTCGCTCTCGCCTGGACTAGTTTTTAGCTGCTCTCTTTGGGATGGCCATGGTTAACCTATATTCGCGGCTGACATTTAGGTGCAGTGTATTGGGCACTTGTCTGCAGCTGAATGACGTAGCTAGCTATCCGTGTGTGTGTGTGTGTGTGTGTGTGTGTATATATATACATAAGTGCAAGTAGAGGCCGTTTTTTATGAGCTTTTAAAATATTCATTGAATGGAAGAAGCCGGGGACGGGCAATTAGCGTGAGAAATAACAAAGACTTAATTAGTCAATTGATTGGCTTTAAGCAGAATCCAGAATTTGAATGGATTTATAGTAAATAAAATGAGGACTTTGACTGTTTCCCTTATGAACAAAAATGCCTCTAGTCAGGAAATTTTAGACGTAACGTAGTCAGGATATTGAATTCATTTCTTGATTTAAACATCGTAAATGCATTCGCCGCGATGATGTAGACCTAAGGATTTTATAACTGTTTCACTGGGAAAAGTCTTTTGATCAGGAAATTTAGTACATTTATTGCATCGGACTGGATTTCACATAGAACCGTCAATTTCTTAGTGCTCCAAAATGGAGCGCTATGCATAATTTTGCACTAATTTGAATATCTGATATTTACATAACTGTCTTCTGAGCACACACACATAGAATTTGATTGGCCAAAGTCCATCCGATTTGCATTAAATATCATCTGTGGTCTCAACAATGCGACAGATAATGGGTATATCTTCTGGATGTGTACCATTAGTGTTAGTCTCAATCAATGTGCTCTGCACATAGTCTCGCTTGAATTTCTCCCAGCGGCGCGTCTTCAGGAAATGATCGAACAGATCCTCGCGCGACGGTATATTCGTTTCCAGCGAGAATCTGCGTCGCATCCAGATATGGCCCGGATTCTGTTCCGCGGCCATGAGCCAATAGCGAGGCAATAGCAGACATTGCACCACGGTGCGAGCCATTATGACACGATGGGTGATTTTTTCGCCCAGGCCAAAGATACCGCCATAGGTCAAGGAGCCGACGTCTATGAAATGCGTCTCTGTGGGCTACCAAAAAAAAAAAAAAAAGATTGTTTTCAAATAAATATAAGTAGCTGAGCTGTTATCCTAGATTACGTGTAACTAACCAGATTTGCTAAACTCTTCTTCTCATGGCGGATATGAAAGCCCAGCAGCGAGCTTGAGCTATCGTCTGAATCGTTTGAAGCCGATGCATCTGCAATGGCTCCATCTGCACCAACAACAGTTACGTTCTTGATCCTGCTCAGCTTGGGACCGATTACGGTCGTGGCGAGTTCCACCTCGCTCGATGGCTGTTTATCTTGTATTATGGATGTTTTGGATAATTTTGTTGTTGAGCTATTCGGAAGGATGGAAGTAGGATCGCTTTTCTTTTGGTTTTCGCTTTCGTCTTTGAGTGAATTATCATCATCCTCTTCAATAAAGACAACCATATCCTCTTCGTCGTCCTCGAAATCCACTTTCCAAATATTACTCAATGAATGCTTAAATTTCATTGTTGTTATTCGCCTGGTGGAGCCGCGTAACTTCTTTTTACTTGAATTCACTGAGGTGCCAGTGGCAAGTCCACAAGCGATTTCAATTTCTCGCAGACCCGTTTTACGCTTCTGCAATTGTATAATCAATTTAGATGCAACGATGAGTTCAATAACTCGAAATAAGCCATCAATACCGCTTTTCTTTGCGCTCTAGACTCCTCGTCGTTGAGGTCCGATGACGATGCCAGTAGATCAGCGAGATTGAACTCCGATTCAGATAAATGTTTATCCTTCCTTTGGGCTTCGTCGAGGAATGAGCTATTGAATGATCGGGCCGATTTTGTTGGATTGACAAAAATATCCTGTTCCTTCTCCTTAACAGCGACCAATTCATACGTTCTTGTGCCATCCGGTTTGATGACTCGCTAACCGCGTGACATGGCAAAAACAATATTGTTAGCCAACAGTTAGAATAGAGAGTATACACATATATATGTATATATACTATATATACTCGCATCTGTACTCACGATCACTTTGAGGCACTGTAAGACAACGCATTCGCCGCTCAATATGAAGTGAACACAGCTGACAGCTCCCCTGTCCTCCGAGTAGATCGAGTGCAGTGGATCGTACTCCTCCAGCTGGCAATAGGCGCATGCTCGCACAACCTGAAACATATATTCATACACATACA